TAAATTGACTTTTTTTACTGTAACTAATATGAAAGAGAAAGTGATTCTGATGGAGAGCCCTTCATCCCTTTCCCATGCATCAAGTAAGAGAATTAGCTGCAATTTTTGGAGTTAAAAAGACAAGAGAGGACAAGGTTAGTGTAGTAAATATGTAACGACCTACTACCAGTAGTATGTATCTCATGACTGTCTTTATTAACGTTACGTTATAAACTTCAAAATTTACTTGTTCCCCAACATTAGAGTGGAGATGGAGGTCATCTGTTTTGATTAGCCCAAAGTGCGCTCATGAAAATCGTACAGTGGAGATTTAGTACGTCAGTTGCAATGCACTTTTGAAAGCTCACTTTGTCCGTGATGCAAGCGGAAGTGGCCTTGTAATGAAACTGATGTGTTCAAAAGTGTAATCGACCCAAGTATTTCGACAGCTGATATAATTTTTCATTGATCAGAGAGCGAACAGTTTTGGCTCTGCGAATCTCTTGTTAAAGTTTACGCTTGAATCTGACGAATCCTTTATACCCCTCCTGTAAACACGGCAAATGCAAAACCTCATATGCGCAAGATTTATCTCCAAAAGCTCATTGCTATGACGCGCATGTTACTCCTTACAGCTTGGAAGGTCATACCAGAGTGACTTGGCAGTACACTGCAGTTCGATTCGACACCCAAGACCACTTCGATACCATGATGAGCGGGAACTATAGTGGGGAATTGTATATCCAATACCGCTCGTATTTCTTGAGAAAAAAACGAGCACAGTCGTCCAATTCATGTGATATCACCGTAACATGGCCATATGTCGCTTCGGAGTGCACGAATTCTTAATCCAAGGGCACCAATCGACTCAGCTCCGTGACGCATCTTTTGTTATATAAGAGTGTCTAGTGGGACGCAGTGAGAGGCTAGATCACACGAATCGTATCAGATTTTGGCTCACGGTAAGCTAATCAATGTACTTGTTCACTGCACTCACTGGGAACCTACCATAGGCAACTGAAGCAATTAATGAAATCTAACTCTTGCTGTTTCCAAACGCTTCTATATATCAGCTCAGACAATCGGTGCCGTAGCTCTGGAGAAGAGTCGAAATCTGGCAGAACTGCGGAGGATCCAAAACCATCGAGAGGAGCGAGGGGGCGGTCCCTTTCTATGGCGTCACGGTGACGTCACAGGAAGGCAGATGGGACCACTCCGGCGGGCTTGCAAATCTCAGCTCCGCGGGTACGCCAGATTTGGGAAAGCCCCAGAGCACAGATCTGCGCTCCGGAGGTACGCCAGATTTGGGACACCTCCGGAGCACAAAATGGGAGGGCTCCGGAGCACGAGTGGCAAATCCCCGCTGGGTAAACACCGCGGCTCCGCCATTTCTGCTCCGGAGGTATGCCGTCGACTGTCTGAGAGAAGATGCGCCGTGCCGAGCTGAGTCGAATGTAGTTTTGGATTAAAAGTTCGTGCAGTTTGAAGCAAGATATGGCCACGCTACGGTGATGTCAATGCTGGAGACTGCGCATCGTTTTTTAAAATACGAGCGGTATTGTATTTGCCACCGGTGAAGCTTTCGTGACATATGAAAGCCGAAAATGCCTCAGTACAGAATCCTTTCCCTCACCTATCAGGCTACAAAACAACTGGTCATCCTCCAAGTAAATCTTATAGCATCGTCAGAGTTTGAAAGTGAAGGAGAAACACCGGAACATGGAAAACACTCTTTGACAGAGCTACTTGGAATTCCTGAATGTTCCTCGGGAATATTATGGAACGAGCAGTGTTTGCATGAGAGAACGTAGTTTGGTGAAATCGAAAACATTCTTGGAACCATAGATAAGTAGAAATGCAAAGAACAGAGGAAGCAACAACGGAATGACTATTGATAATTGTACTGTGCTTGTCTTTGCGTCAAATTCCAAAGTACATTGTCTCTTTGATGTCGCTGATTTTGAGGCACATGTAATAGTATGAATTCAATGGTTCTTCAACTGCCACAACTACAATGAGAGCTTTTTTTCAATAACTGAGAGGAGACAGGGCTGTCATTTAAAAGTGCACCCAAATTTGTGGGCGATAACGGTAACGTAGCTTGTCTTTTGCCAGATCTTTGATCCTGACTTATCGAAAAATGTTCACAAATTTTTGCTGTATTCAAAAATGTTGTAACGCTCGTAACCGAAACTGATGCTTTGTGGCGGTGGCACAAAGGTACAAGCGACATCAAATAGATAAAAATAGCAACTATCGAATTGATTAGAATTAAATTCGGTCGCATTTGGCGGTTTGTTACAAATCTCTCTTTGTGTGTCTGTATGATACTATTGGAAAGAGCAAATCAAGGAGAGTAGGAAGGTCACTTCGTTTTGTTCAATGAATATTTTTCTGATAACGAAATGGTGCAGGAAAGAAGAATGGTCAGGTTTTTTCCTTCTTTCGGGAAATTATGCTCCGAAAAACGAACTGAAATCAAGTTTTAGGTGGAGATTCGGTATCCATACAACAAATTTTCTAATTTCCAACCGTTTGCAGTAGATAGGCAAATTTGAGAAATGCCCAAAATTTAAACGCGCAAATACCTAGAGATTTTCACATTTTTGGGTGCAAATAATTCACAAACAGCAGGTCGCAACCTCCGTTATGATTCCCTATGTAGCAAAATGCTATGTTTATCCAGCCACCAACTTACTCGCCTTTGCTCTCGCTACAGGCTGAGAACATTTAGAAAGTCAAAAGTCATTTTTCAGAAGTCTGGACATATAAGAGCATTACTATCATTTTTCGGTGACGGAGAATCGCGACTACTTGAGTGGGAGCTAAAGTAGGAGCTTGAAACCTATCTTCCCACACAAGAATTTTTGCTGAAAGCTGATACTACGTGACTATTATAGATCTTTGAATTTGCATGTCAAAAGAAACTTATTCTTTAGCCGGCTTAATTTTAGGATAGGTAGCTCAAATTGTGTGCTCAACACATTCTTAACATCAAAGCTCGCTATCTTTTAATAAAGATTTGGGGCTGCCGCATGCATCCAATTCTCATTCTTCAGTTTTTTTCCAAATTACATTTCCTAATGCCTACCATAGAAACTGGAACGAATAATGTTCAGCTAGAAATTGATGACTGATCTACTACAGATACAATTTAAAAAACCTCAAAAATAGCGACCATTTAATTTACAGTACTTTAGTGTCAAAGTCTTTCACCTCTAGGTATAATATCCACGGATCGAGTTAACCTGCAATTAGATTTACGATATTGATCGATTGACTTCATTACTGACCAAGAATTTCATATAATTCTTTTCGTCATTTAAAACCATATTTTGGAACAATAATTAAGCAAATATTTCTGCCAGTTTTAGTCTTGTGAGGGAGACTTTGACTCAGATGTAAATAACCTGATCCACTTGTGACTTAGCTGATTATATAAACTCAGCTAGCATCGAGTGAAATTTCTATCTTGCTGCACCTACATAAGTCAAAATTTCTTTCTACAAGACAGTTGATCACAAAAATTCACCTTAGAGGGCTCGAAAATGGCGACACCAGCACTTCCCAAGGCTCTCCACTTTGATATGGACGACTGGACGATTTCGACCAAGATCAGCGACGCAGAGTCGTTGACCCTTACGGTTATAGCATTGCGCCTGCCGCTTCTGATGGAGGCAAAGAAATCGTGAGCTCGTCCAAGTGTAGATAAGAATTGCTTGCGGGCGCGGGTTTGGGGCAGTTTTCTTGGCTTTCTTTTCTTCGCCAAATTCATGCCACTTACGGCGACAAATATGAGCTTTCAAGCGCTCATAGCTTTTTTCAGAGAGCTGTTCCGCAGAAAAGGAAAGCAGATTTGAAATCAGTGTCCGGCTACGCGTCTAACAATATGAATCTTTTTTCGCTTTGCAGAATCAAGTTGATATTCTTCTCTGGCTTGTATTATCATACAAAGATTGCACATAGATTTCTCTCACCTCCTCTATTTTTCACCCTTCCAGGACAGTTTCGCTTGTTTTAGGACCCGTTATACTTTGCCAAAAAAAGCCCAAAAAAGCCCGAAAAAAGCCCAAAAAAAGGCCGAAAGAGCAAAGCATCCCTTCCGTTTTGAAGCTGAGGCATGTGTGTTGTCTCAGAATAGTGTCAGAATTCTACAGAATTTCGTTTCTGCGTTCCGGCTTCGGCCTTTTTCCGGCTTTTTTGGGCACTTTTAGGCTTTTCTCGGCGAAGTATGACGGGTCCCTTAGCGTCTGAAGAATAATGACAAGTAATCTAAGAACATCATATGGCACGCATAGCCCCAATATGAGTCTTGAGTTCATTAGTAGTTTGAGGAAATCACATATAAAGTGTGCATTCTACTTCGCTTTTTTTGTAGACTTCCAACTATGTCTTCTTTATGTTGCTCGGACATGCTGTGAGAAGTAATTTCTCTATATATTATCTACTTGGCACTTTTGTGTGTTACTAGTAGCTGAAATATTTTTTGTGTACGTAAACCAGTAAAAACCTGTAGACGCACTTCAAAGAGAAGATCACTTAGTGATAGGGTCATTCCGCAGACGTTCTTCGGTTGAAAACATGGTAAACTCGCAAGTTAGCTACCCAGTCGCTGGTTGTGCGGTCGCACATCCCTGTTGAAACCAAAATTATTTGAAATTCTAGACAGCGTAAGTTGGTGCGTTCAGAACATTTGAAGAGCTACGACTAATGCACGATATTGATTGGAGTGCGGTTTGCAGAATGTATGGAATATGTCTTGGAAGTTTTTGATTAGCAAATTCTTTATCACAGAAAAAGTAGAAGGAAATAATGAGCGGGTAGGGGACAAAATGTCGCAGATAGGCTTACGATGCGCGGAGAGCTGCTACATATCTGTATTGTCTGTAAAATGCATGGCTTCGTGGTCTGTCGCAGATGTCCGCCTGGACCACCTCCTTTCAGCGACATATAGTCCTCTACTCATGATAAGCAAACCACAAACTAATTAGACAACACAATGTGATAGAAATCTATGAATTTTAAATGTACGAACAGCACACGTAGTAGAAATCCCCGTTTTCGTACTCTTTCTGCATCAGTTCATCCAGTTTGCCATTGCGAGTTCTCAATTTTTGTATTTCTTCTGACAGCCGCTCTATCTCCCTTTCCATTAGATCTATAGCATGCTCATTATTTTCCTTTTGATATTTGTATGGAAGCTGGTCCGCATCGCTGCGGCTGCAACCATAACTTTCCATTCCTACCATCACCTCTTCGAGTCTTTTCCTAAATGATACTCAGTGCGGCGCAATCACTCAGGATAACTGAACTTACGGTCTAAAGGCCACACACTCAGGATTCCAAAGCGTGTGGGCTTTTTTTTCCTCCAATTTTGAACCTATTTGTACTGCATCTCTAGTTAACAGTACATCCGTGGATTGACTGAACTTGCCAGTCAGTAGTAATCGGTCACGAACAGCGCCCGCATTTTTCTCGGCTCCGCACACGTATGTCTGAAACACGATGCTACACTAAATAATTGACAGCTTCTAGTGCAAAGATCTAGTTTGTGTTGTAGTACAACTCCTCGTACCCATCTACAGGTACGCAAGACTGATCAAATTTTTAAATTCATTGCAACTGAAACTTTTTCGACATCTCACCTTGTTGTGCTTCTTGAATATCTTGCTAACATTAGCTCTTCTTTCCATGGACGCAACTGGGTTTCCTTTGGGGACAAAAGGTTCAAATGGGTCGTTTTGCTCGGAGCAAAGGTCGATTTGCTTTCCATCTCTTGTTACAATTCGCTCAACATTATCATGCAGTTCATGGCTAGTTGAGAAGCCATGATAATGTACGTTTCCTTTTATCTTAGTTGTTAGTACTTCACGAGCGACGATTTCTGCATCCGCTATTCTAGATGATGCAAGAATGACCTGAAGTAAACCTCAGCATCCACTCTAGGCGGAAACTCGAGAGACTTACGAGTGAATGAAGTAGAATGCAGAACATGATGGAGAAGACAAGAGCTGCACCCTTATATATTAATTGCTGCGAGAATTTCATTCATCACACAATGCACAAAAGCAGCTGACTCCTATTGAAAACTTTTCATTTTGCTCTGTACTCTTGTGCACCTTCGAAAATCACAGTGCAGTACAGTATCCCACCCACCTTTCCCTCTACATATGTATGTTAGAAATCTACATCGACTGAGCACACATATATTTTATGATACACTTATTAATTCACAATTTTCTAAACCCATACTTTTTACCTTATTTTCTTGAAGCTAATCCTTAATAATTTTGCCCTGCTTTTGAAGAAGAAATGATAGCCAGCAGATAGAGAAAGCATTCGTAACTCAACGCCTCCTTCACATCACTTAGCGGACAAGGTTGTCTTTGACATTATCGGAGATTGAAAATCTGAGGAACAGGCAAAACTAGCGGCCGGTAGACGGCAGCGATTGATCTATTCCTGGCTAGAGCTATGTAATCTCAACTGAGGTAGACGGGATTGTTACAATTTTAATGCCCGGCAAGCATGTTGATATCAGACACGCATTGGCGTAAGATGCGACGACGGAGCAGCTTACATTTTTTGTAATACTATGTTATATTCTTCAAACGTAATATAGGGAAGCTTGGATTGTTCACTAAAATCCCGTAAGCTCCTACAGAGCTAAGCAAGAAATAAACGCCTAAGGAAACTCATTGTTTTGGCCTTCACCATAGAATGTGTGCTGGCTCTATGTGAAGTGCAGGTCATCATTGTTGACAAGTACAGAGATGAAGGCACTAAGTAAGGCCTATTTAGAGTCTTCTTTCAGTACAAAGTTTTTTGCGGATATAAAATGGCAAAAAGTGTTACTTAATGTCGTTTCAAGTTCAGTCTAAGTTTCTGCAAGTTTTCTTTGAACAAGCTTCTGCAACATCTCAAGGCTCCAGTAATCGCTAAATCATTAGGGACCAGCATCAAAAGTATTTAGATGAGAAACTCTTGTGATTTACCTTGTCGTTTGCTTTTCAAGAAATCTGCAATAACTGTTGATCTCAGCTTGTCTCTACTTTTACTGAGCATTGAGCTTCCGAATTCGTTTTTTTTAATTTGCTAAGAACTAGTAAAATTATGCGCACTCTGTCATTCGTTCCTTTAGGATGCTAAGCGTTCACGGTAATCGCCGTATTGAGTTTCTGCTCGTTGTTAAAAGTGCACGCTATTGTCACCTCTGTAAATGTAAAAAAAATACTTTATTTGAGCTCATCCACTTCTGATCTTAAATATGATCTCTGCGTAAACTTATTTTAAACAATACCTCCAACTGTCAGAGTCCACTGTAGTGCTTGAGATGCAATTTCAACAACGTGTGGTTTTTATTTCCGTTAAGACAGGTTGGTAATGCGTTCGGGGAAGATCGGCTTATTACAGTTATTGAAGCGGCATAAATTCTCTCCACTAAAGAGAACTGTATTTTTTGCTGTATTTCTTTTCATCTAGAAATCGAAAAAACAAAAAATTTCATTCCTATGCAAAAACAAAGCTATGTTGTTTCAACTAAAGTAGTTGATTCTACAAGCCCTTAGAAGTATAACCGTAAATTTTCAGCTTCCCACAAGCCCCAGAATTCAAAAATTACCGAATTTAGCTTTTCTCACTCGAGTATTTCTCTAAAAACAATATTCCTTGAAAACTAAGGTTGTGGAAAGTTGAAAATTTACGGTTATACTTCTGAGAGCTTGTAGTATATGATCAAACAAGTGAAAACAGCATAGCTTTTTTGCATAAGCATAAAAAGTTTCGTTTTCTTGATTTCTAGGTGAGGAAAAAAATAGCACGTAAGTGTCGGTGTGCAATCTGTATGAGCAAGTTGAAGATCTGTAGGGTTTTTTGAACAAAGATATGAATTTTTCCCACTTTTCTGAGCCTTCAGTACGACTCAGATTTTGGATGGAACTTTATGATGGTCGAAGTCGGTGCGAACTTTTGCAAATCATCTTCTAGAGCTTGCTTTGCTCTAAAACGACACCATGGAGCCCTGATAAAAGTACGAAGCGCACAATTATCGCCGTAAAGAGTTAAAGTGTAACAAGACTTATGTTACCACCCAATACAATTTCGCTCAAACTCGGCCTCTTGAAATCAAAGCATTCAATCTTTCAAGTGCTTCTTAAGACTTCAGAACAGCTTCTTATTGTTAGAGTCTTTGGCAGATGATAAGGAAAGTAAGAAGCAAGTCTCATTACCGAGAAAAATCCAGCTCTACTTACTCTGTCCTACCCAGGTTCAGATACTTGACGATCGATGAGTTCACTTCGTACCTTAGCTTTGAGACCAAGGCAAGGCGTCACCTGCAGAGTTCTACAAAATCACTATGGTTGTTCCTTCTGAACTTTACTTTTGTACTAATTTGAATAGCACATTTCACATCAGAGCTTTTCTGCAAAGGCTGCTCCAAAAAAACGTCTTTTGCTGCAGTGACAAAGGCATTTGTTTTTTTTTGATTTTTTGGGGGTTGTTCTCGCGCGAAACCAAGGTGCAATATCGCTCAAAATCGTCAAAAAAGTCGCCGCATCTACGCAATGGCACGATTTTTGGCTGCCTATGAAAACTGTCAATTGCTCAACAGGTGCGCACAAAGTGCACCGAAATTACGAATGGTTTAGCAAGATTTTTCTCAGTATAACTCTGCTAAAAACTCAACGAACAAAGAGTATGATATTCGTGAACAGCGGACCACAAAACCAACCTCAATGGGCAAGGTCTCCAGTCAATCAAAGATCATCAAAATTCTGCCAACCCGTCAGCTAGCTTCAGCGCTTAGAACGAGAGAAAATCAAATGGGTCGAGTTTTTTGAACTTGCTCATAGAGGTTATTTAGCCTGCTCGTTACGATAAAACACATCTGCTTTGCACGTTATCATCTTAACATAGGGTTACGTTAAGTAGAACTTAGGTAAACATGAATTTTCCACAATTTACGTGCCCTTCTTTCTCTTTTCGGAAGAGTTCTCCGGCTAGTTTTTAAATTCTACGGAGAGCTTCCGAACTTTAGATACTAATTTCTCTACGTGTGTGCTGCGCTGAGGTACACATTGTGAAATCCCGTCCTCAAAAAATCGTGAAAATAAAAACGCAATAACAATCAATGTAGTAGATCGTAAAATTTGCCTTAACGAGGTGAGCTGGACATTTTTCGGATTCATGTTTCATGCAGTCTGGAAAAAATTATGATGCTGTGCAATCTACCTGATTCGCGTGAGATTGTCGCGCTTACTACAGTAGCGCTTACAATTCGTCAAAAAATTATCGCTTTGGTCTCCGGTGAACTCTGGAGTGCGCCGGAATCCACCGGAGTGCGGCAACTTTGTTGGCGAATTGTAAGCGCTATTGTAATGAGCAGCAGCTGTAATGGGGATCTGGACTTTACGTAGCGATCGCGATTCACACAGTACAGGATCAGTACATGAATTCTCATTAACAGACAATAAAAATAATCAAAAAATCACATCTCTCATTTGTATTTGTTCTTATGAAAGACAACGAACGCTATTGTTTGGTTCCTAATTATCGTTGTGTAGGAGCGCAGGCCATAGGGTCCCATCCAGGGCCCGGCACGCGTTGGTTTGGAGGTTTTTAGTAAACGAAGTCCTCCATGACTTCGCGAAAATTTACGAAATCCCTCTCGACGTGAAAATCAGTAGGGAAACCCTTACACAAACAAAATAGCAACAAAAAAGCGAAAAAAGGTCTTGAGGTATGTAATATAACAAAAAAGCAAAAAGAAAACATTTCGAGTCGATTAAAGGCTCTGCCATTGGGTATAGTACCATTTTGATGCTTTGAATGTCGAGAATCTCCTAGGCCAACCAAACCTGTAGCCTCAACAATCCTGCGATGCATTTTTCGCCACTATTTCAAAGGGCACCGCAAGTGATTAGAGCGCGATATCTATCAACGCGTAGAATTATAGTATTATACTTTTGACTCAAAGGGGAGAGGCAACGGTTTGATCCGCTCTCTTCACTATATGATAGATTTTTGACCGTTCTAATCGTCCAAATCAAAAAGGTCCAAAACTTATGTGAACTCTCCGATATTTATGTTCCGAACCAACCCAGTTGGTTTGGTAGTTGGTCTAAAAACCAACAACGAGAACGGATATTAGGACACATAAGTTTTGGGAACTTTTTACATAACATAGTTTGGAGTAACATTGTATACTCATAGCCCAAATTCGGAGCCATGTGATTGTTTGTGCGCTGTAAACAAGCCATTTGTTTGTTTGAGTCTTGCATTTGAAATTCGCGCGCTTGCGAAAGAACACGTTCAACTCGTGAAACCTGACATATTCGTCGTGTTTTTTGGGCGCTTCCTCCAGGACTTCATAAAAATGATCAGGGTAAAGCGGGGGGTGCGGCACGCCGCACCGGGGGTCATAAGGGGGAGGGGGTAGGTGAGGGGGGTCGTATCCGACGGTCGTGTGCCGCACCCCTCGCTTTACCCTGAAAACGATGTCCCCGTTGCTTCTAACTCCAAAAACGAAGTCCAGTTTGACCCCAAACCATCGGTGCCAGGCCCTGGTCCTATCTCACCACAGTTCACTTCATTAGTAGTCTCATCTACTTCCTGATACCAAATGTGGTCTCTGTGGCCGCACGAATTAGTCATTTGTCTAATTTGTGGAGGTCCACTATGAGCGCTTTGCACTTGGATCGAGTGAATTTCGACTTTGTCAGGCACTATGCCCAAAGGTGTGGGAAGGATTGATAGCAATTTGACTGAAAGTCGAAGAGTAAAAGCAGGTAAATGAAATTAAAACGTCTTTTTGTCACGATTTATATAGCAGCATTCCACTGTCTTGAGTTCAAGGATAAGTTTTCTGTGTCGTTAGTCCAGTTCCATACAAGAACTCTTTAAGAGAGTGCCAACGACATTGATTTGATCCGCTACGTATTTGAGAAATCTATGCCGTGATCACAGCTTAAAGGCACCGCCCACCCAGATTGGAG